GTTAGGTAGCCGAAAAAGGTAGGTTAGGTTAGGTTAGGTAGGTTAGGTTGTCGAAAAACAATTAATTCATGAAAACTTGGCTTATTAGGCAAATCGGGCCTTGCATAGTAGGCTGAGAAGTGCGTTCTGGCTACTAGGTACGACATATATATATATATATATATATATATATATATTATATTATATATATATATATATTATATATATATATATATATATATATATATATTATATATATATATATATTATATATATATATATATTATATATATATATATATATATATATATATATATTATATATATATATATTATATATATATATATATATATATATATATATATATATATATATATATATATATATATATATATATACACACACATATATATATATACATATTATATTATATACATATTATATTATATACATATTATATTATATACATATTATATTATATATATATATATATATATATATATATATATATATATATATATATATATATATATATATATATATATATATATATATATATATATATATATATACGTATGTATGTATGTATGTGCCAACTCTCTCATAGGGATACAGTGGTGAAAAGAAATACCTATAAAATATAGTATACTAATCAATACTAATTTTATCAAGCCAATAAATTTGTACTTTTTGTATGAATGAAAGTGATATGATTTCATAGAACTTCACAAAATAGTGCAAGTACATTTACTTAGTAGCATGTTGTTGCACCTTTTCCAGTTTGTTGATGTGCTTCTTAAGATATGGGCACCACACAACAGCTGCATATTCTAGCTTTGGCCTAACAAAAGTCATGAACAATTTCTTTAGTATATCGCCATCCATGTATTTAAATGCAATTCTGAAGTTAGAAAGCATAGCATAGGCTCCTTGCACAATATTCTTTATGTGGTCCTCAGGTGATAGTTTTCTATCTAGAACCACCCCTAGATCTCTTTCTTTATCAGAATTCTTTAAAGATTTCTCACATAATTTATAGGTTGTGTGGGGTCTATGTTCACCTATTCCACATTCCATAACATGACATTTATTAACATTAAATTCCATTTGCCAAGTGGTGCTCCATTTACTTATTTTGTCAAGGTCTTCTTGAAGGGCATGACAATCGTCTAAATTTCTTATCCTTCCTATTATCTTAGCATCATCAGCAAACATGTTCATATAATTCTGTATACCAACTGGTAGATCATTTGTGTACACAATAAACATCACTGGTGCAAGAACTGAACCCTGTGGTACTCCACTTGTGACATTTCTCCATTCCGATACATTGCCTCTGATTACTGCCCTCATTTTTCTATCAGTCAGAAAATTTTTCATCCATGATAGAAGCTTACCTGCCACCCCTCCAATATTTTCCAGTTTCCAGAACAACCTTTTATGTGGAACTCTGTCGAAAGCCTTTTTTAGGTCCAGATAGATGCAGTCAACCCAACCATCTCTTTCCTGTAATATCTCTGTGGCTCAATCATAGAAACTGAGTAAATTCGATACACAGGATCTTCCAGATCGAAAACCATACTGTCTGTCTGATATTATATCATTTCTCTCTAGGTGTTCTACCCATTTAGTTTTGATTAGTTTTTCCAATACTTTCACTATTACACTTGTCAATGATACAGGTCTATAATTGAGGGGGTCTTCCCTGCTGCCACTTTTGTAGATTGGAACTATGTTAGCCTGTTTCCACACGTCTGCTACGATTCCTGTACACAGGGATGCCTGAAAGATCAGGTGAAGTGGAATGCTGAGCTCAGATGCACATTCTCTCAGAACCCATGGTGAAACGCCATCTGGGCCAGCTGCTTTGTTCTTACCGAGCTCCTTGAGCATTTTTTCCACTTCGTCTCTAGACACCTCTATGTGCTCTATGTTGTTCTCTGGAATTCTTATTGTATCTGGTTCCCTAAAGATTTCATTTTGTACAAACACACTTTGGAACTTTTCGTTTAGTGTTTCACACATTCCTTTTCATTTTCCGTGAATCTATTTCCCATTTTCAACCTCTGAATATTATCCTTTACCTGCAATTTGTTGTTTATGAATTTATAGAATAGACCTGGTTCTGTTTTACATTTGTCTGCAATCCCTTTTTCAAAATTTCTTTCTGCCTCTCTCCTCACTGCCGTGTAGTTGTTTCTCGCATCTTTGTATCGCTGGTATGTTTGGGGGTTCGGCCTCTTCCTATATTGATTCCATTTTTGTGTCTTTTGGTCTCTAGCCCTCTCGCAATTTCTATTGAACCAATCCTGTTTCCTAGTTCTGCATCTCTGTTTTGGTATAAATTTTTTTGTGCCTTTATCATATATTTCACAAAACTTGACATACATCTCATTCACTTCCTTGCCTAGCATCAAATCTGTCCAATTATACTCACTAAAAAAATTTCTAAGGTCACCATAATGTCCTCTCCTGAAGTCTGGTTTTTCAACTGCTTCAACCTCCTTATTTTCTTCTAGCTTATAACGCATTGCATACTTTATTCCCAAAAAGACATGGTCACTTTTACCCAAGGGAGGAAGGTACTGAATGTCAAATTTTTCTTCCTCCTTCCTGGTAAATATCAAATCTAGCATGGAGGGAACGTCCCCTTCCCTCATCCTCGTAGCTTGTTTAACATGTTGATACAAGAATGTTTCCAGGATGAGGTCTACAAATTTACAGGTCCAAAAATCTTCTGTTTTAGCTTCATATGCTTCCCAGTCTATGGATTTCAAGTTGAAGTCACCGACTACCAACAGTCGTGATCTATCGTTATCCACTCTCGCTATAATCTCTCTCATTATTGTTATAAGACCTTCACGTTTACTATCTAGCTCCTCCTTTGACCATGTGCTGCTTGGCGGTAGACTATATGCATTTATTATCATTAGTTTATCATCCTCATGGCAGATCTCTAGTGCTATTATGTCAACTTCTTGTGGATTGGCATTCATTATTTCGTTCACCTTTAGGTGTTCTTTTGCCAGCACAGCAACGCCACCGCCTTTCCTAATTTTTCTGTCCCGTCTCCAAATTGAGTAGCCCCTTGGGAATATGACCTCATTTAAAATTACATCTTCAAGTTTTGTCTCTGTGAGTGCAACAATGTCTGGTGTCTGCAGCTGTATTACATCACTTAACTCCAGTATCTTCGATCTCACTCCATCTATGTTGGTGTATGCAATCTTCATGAACTTGTTCCCCCTCTCCTTATTCTTCATTCCCCCTCTCTCTATTGATTTTGTTGGTTTGCCTTTATGTACCACTTTACTGGTTTGCCTACCCCTATCACTTTGTAGAAAAAATGAATTTATTTCTTCTTCATTCCTGCTCTCATTTAAATGTTTTGCCTCGGCGAGGTTCAGTTTCAGCTTCTCTCTATCTTCTTTTGAAAGAGCTCGTCTTAACGACCACCCTTTCCCATCCTCATCACTTTGCAATTTTCTAGCATTCCTTAGTACTTCTTCCATCTGTTTGGCACCATTTAGGGTGATCCTCAAAGGTCGATCTTTCCCTTTTACGTACCTGCCTATTCTCCTGTAGTCGCACACATTCTCTATGGTTGTAAGACCTTCTACGAGGCCAACAATTTTATCTACTACTTTAGCTTTTTCTACAGCTCTTTCTGACCTAGATGGTATCGCCTTTTCTTTGCAGCCAAAAATGATCAGGGACTTACTCCGGTCAACTGTGTTTTGCACCAACTTCGGGTTAGATGCCAATTCTTTTCTCACTTCTAGCCTAATGTTTGTTTTATCTTGGTTGCTGCAGTGTTTGACTTCCTTTACTGCTTCTTCTATTTTTTCCTTCTCCTTGGCCACTTGTGCATAAGTAAGTTGCATATCTTTCTTGCACTGTTCTATTCCCTGTGTAACTTCCTCCATCTGTGCTGACAAAAGCTGTTTCTCCTGTTGAATTTCCTTACCTAACCTATTGTAGTCATTTATGTTTAAATTTACTTTAACTTCTTCCAAAGCTATTTTTAAGAGTTTATTTTCTTCTTCCATGGCTTTGCAATTTGTTTCCAATGTTTGTTTGCAATTTGTGTGTGTGTGTGTGTGTGTGTGTGTGTGTGTGTGTGTGTGTGTGTGTGTGTGTGTGTGTGTGTGTGTGTGTGTGTGTGTGTGTATATACGTATGTATGTATGTATGTGCCAACTCTCTCATAGGGATACAGTGGTGAAAAGAAATACCTATAAAATATAGTATACTAATCAACACTAATTTTATCAAGCCAATAAATTTGTACTTTTTGTATGAATGAATGTGATATGATTTCATAGAACTTCACAAAATAGTGCAAGTACATTTACACAATAAAAAGTTGTTGGTCATTTTTTCCCGAAACATGCTGTGAAATAAAGCTGTGATATTGTGCTTAGCTTCATAACCTTATTTGTGTGTATTAAGTCATTCATTTTCCATGCACTGTTGTTGTACCCTACATATTCAAACTTGTACCATTCACCTCCTACATATTTTACTAATACCATGCTTCACAGTAGTATCAACTACATATTAGATTTTTCTATTAAAACAATATTACCAACTTCTAAAAAATATGCATTCTCTGTAGAGTATAATGAATGTACTTCAAATACTTGACATTCTTGGGGCACATTTACAGTACCAGAAATTTTACAGGGGGAGCAATGGTTAAATAGCTATAGGAAGGACAGAATTTAGAAGATATTTTCAAATGAATAAGAGTCAGGATACTGACAGGCTTCTTGAAAATTTACAAATTTCTTACTTTGTCAATTAAAAAACAACAACGTATATTTCAATATAAAAGATTCAGCACAGTGTAAAGTTATCTTGCAAATAATTCTATATACTGTGAAATTCTAGTCAATAATAATGAAATTACAAAAAGAATGCCAGCAGCCAGGATGGAAGGCAACAGTCTAATTCGGGCAAGGATAGAAATTTCATTGTGAGGGGCATCCACATAACAGGCAATCAACACATCATCTTTACCGATCTCCGAATCACGTCGAGGGAAGCACTCTGTGTTATGAGATGGGAAAAGAGAAGGCAATGAAGAAAAAAGCTTTTATGTACACATTAAAAACACTTAAGTCAGCAATTAAAGGGCATAAAATGGGTCTTGGTAGTCTGCCACCAACAAAATTACTTTATCTCAATATTCACAAAATTAACATTTTAAATTATATATATAAGTATAATTAATTAAAAGGAGCTAAATTATTTGTACTTAAAATTAAAGTATTATATTAGGTTATCCACTTTGCTTAGTAAAATTTATAATAAGTTCAAAGATATCAATACAGTCAAGTCCAATTTTTTTTTTTTTTTTTTTTTTTTTTAAATAAATACTGAATCACATTTTCAACAAAGATCTAAAAATGTTTTGGAGTCCAAAATCAATTGCTTTAAAAAATATGCCCCTATTCCCTTCTCCCAAATGAAACAAACATTCCTGGTTGATGATGCATTAAATGAAAATCTATATATTTAAGATTCATGCAGTTGTTTAATGTTGTTCATTCATAATACCTGGGCAAGGTCGTATCACCTTGGTTGCTCCATGAGCCATCAGCCAAAGTAACCAAGGATACAGCAAAGATGCCAAGCCCTTATCAACCTTCATCTTACCAAAAAAAAGGAACTTTTTAAAGTCTAAACCTGTAACTGAAGGGGTAGGACAGTGGAGTTATCAATCTACCATCTGAAAGAGTAGTAGAAAGCTGATAGAGTGGAAGCCTGAACATGCAGCTGCACCAGACGAACATCACGAGGAAGGGTAGGGGCAAAGGAGGCACTCATTGAGAAACTCCAGAATTTCTCCAAGAACACCAGCAACACTGTGGAAACCTCCCGCTACTCAAGCGTGGAAGAGGGAGCATGGACTGAACCAGAGCCAAAGCGACCAATTCCCCCACCCCTCCCAAATCCAAGCCCCTAAAGCCCAACCAGGGAAGCTCCGGGGCATCCAACAAGGCAACCAACCTGGCCCGTTGCATCAGAGAAAAATGGTCATGCAATGCAGCTGCTGCCTGAGCTCATAGAATATTAGGAGGGAGGATGAGTAAATTGGAGCACAAGCAGGAAACAAGTCCACCAAGACTCCAGGTCATAGGTGTTCCCGACCCAACAGACAACATGGTGAAGGCAGTAAGGATGACCCTGAGGCAGGGGGCAATGAACAACCCTCAAATTCGCACAAAGTGAGAGTGACTGAGAAGAAGTATCCATAGTATGACTGAACCCACTGGGATTTTCCAGGGCCTGTAGGGTGAATGAGCCCTACAGCAAGCCTAGGCACTGGGCGAGCTAACTGGTAAACATTGTCTAAGCAGGCGAACTGACTAAGTAGCAGATGTGAAACCTCAGGAGCAATAGAGGATTATCACCACCACTCTAGGCAGAGCCTAATGAGGAGACTAAGCAGACCACCACCTTTGTAACAGGCAAGCAAAAAAAAAAAAAAAAAAAAACAACTAGTAAACTAGCAGCCAGTGAGAAACGTCGGCTTGCCATTTGACAGCTTATAGCAGGCATTGCTAGCTACAGTGTACCACACCAGCCGAAAACACACCCCTGCTCAGAGCAAGATGGAAAGTCCCAAGACCCCCCGATGCACCCCAGGGGCGAAGACAACCACAAGCGAAGAAGTTCTCAATGGGGAGCAATACCTGAATGGGCCAGGGAAGATAACCCTGAAATGCAAGGGCAATACAGTACTTATGGAGTACCTAGGGGAAAGTGTTCGTTAGGCACATGCAGCTCCAGTACACTAATACACCTGGCCATCACACCACACAAGTGCATGAGGAGCCACACAAGGCAAAAATCCAGAACAGGAAATCGAGACCAGAGGTGACGTCTGACCGCCAGCACATCAGTTCAAAAACCGAAGTGGTGGGTTGCCAGGTAACCCTGGGCGGCTCCCCCCTTCCCCTCTGCGGAGGGGTAGGAGTAGCAATAATGAGTGGGGGCTAATTGGATGAAGTGTTGCTTGTTTGTTTTCTTTGTGGGGGAGTTCTTTTGCTATTTTGATGACGTAGCTCACAATTTTCAACCAGTGGTCTGTTTTTATTCACGTACCTTTCCAAGTCCTTCCCCGATTGATGGCAAGTATAACATTTTAAATGTAAAGTGCTCACATTCAGGGAGCCATTGCTCCCTGCGCCTCTCTGAGGGGGCCAGGTTCTGGCCCATGGTTCATGATAAGCATAAGAACTCCAGTAACTGATGACCCCAATAAATATAGTACTATATCAGTTTGGATAGCTTCAGGGAGCCAACATGGCTCCCCCACAGAAATGGTAAGCTTGTTCCTCCATGACAAAACCTAATAAATTCCTGAATCCTGGATGTATAGGGACATGCCAGTATGCACCTTGGAGATCCAGGGAAATCATCCAAGCGCCCACCTCGTGAACGAGATGAACCTGGAACATGATACTCCAAAGGAACGGGCAAAAAATGTACCGGTTTAACACAGACAGGTCGAAGATGAACAGAAGATCTGGAAAATCCCATTTTGGGACTGGAAACATGTGGGAAACTCATTGAAGCAAAGAGGCCATCTCAACCGCCCCCAAAGACACCTACTCTAAGATGACACAATGAAGATGAAAGGTTGCCTTCCTGGAAAGACCTAACCCCCCCAAAGGAAGGAGTGACAATCCATCCAACTGCAGGCTGCACTAAATGACTCAAATCCCACAAATCGTGGGACCAGGCACCAGTAAACCATGTATGCAAGCCTCCCTGTCAAAGAGGCAAACCGCAAACCCCTTGAACCGGACTTTTAAGAGGACCAAGCACAGCACCAATCAGACAAATAAGGACCAGCCGAAAGAAGTGCACACAGCTTTGCCAAACTGTCTCACAACACGAGGATGAGCGTAAAGATAAAGGAAATCTGACAATGGACAGAAAGTAGTAGCCTCAGAGGACAAAAACCCTTACACAACATCCTTCGGAAACTATAATGGAGAAAAGGAGTGGCTGAAAGAAGAGCTAGGGTTCAAGCCAAATCTATAGAGGCGGCCAGCACAGCCTGCCGACACACAAACCAAGAGGCAACAAACGTGGTCACCGCCTGTTGAAAGATAGGGGCATGCAGCTTAAAAAGAGCAGCTGATGATGCCATAGTAGACACCATAACCCCAGCAAGAGGAGCACTGCTCACACCAGTCAAGCAAGCGGGGAGTGACAGAAGCCTCAAGCAAAAATAAAAGATTGTCTGCCAACCAGGACAACTCTGGAACCTCATAAAGCATCCAATATGGGGAAGAAGAACCGAATTTGAAAAGAGGCCTATTCTATCAATGAAGTGAAATCCGGATTGCATGGGAGGAAAGTCGAGAGGTTGGAAACCTTCAGAAGGATGTGGCTGGTCCTCCGGGACCAAGCTCTCAAGTCAAGCCTGGCCTTGGGCTGGATTTGGGAGAACTCCCAGAACCCCATCAAGCAGGTATCAAACAGGTATGAATGTGAGGAACCCATGGGCACCTAGAAACAAACTGTGGGGGGGTAGCTAAACTCGTATTGGAAAGGGGGACATGAAAACCCTGTACCCAGTAACGAAGATCCTCTGCAGAAGGAACACGAGTCCACGAATAATCAAATGGGACCCTATCGCCCATGCCAGACTTCCCCAAGTCCCAAGGTAAAGCCGTTATCCATGACCATCACCCGGGAGAGAAGCAGTGTCCAAGGAAAAGGCTTCAAAGGCTGGGGGCTGGCTGAAAAGAAGACCCAGGCTCAACTGTCTTTGTGCCCAAGTCAGAAGGTGCAAATCCAGAGCTGACCAAGCCACATCTTGAGCTAAACCATATTCCCACTGGCTTTACCACAAGCCTCCTTGTTGCACCTTTCTAACTTCTTTCAAATTTAGCCGTTTCCCAAACCATTTAGTCAAGTGCTCTACATTTAGCAATTCTTCAAATTCTTAACTAATATTTCCACATTTTATTTTTGCACACACTAATGCAGTACAGTAAGTCATCTATTAAAAATGATGAAAATTATAACAATTATACTGCAAATGTTATAAATGGCTTTTATTAAGCATCAACAAGGAATGAATATGGAAAAAACCAGTGTTGAATGTAATGAAACGCCATTTTCTGGGTGAGACCCGGAGGCTCCCCGGAGCTTATCCAGGCTGATATGCTAATGTCAGACTTTGGCATCAGTCATGTGTATGGAGTTCTGTGGGCCTACCGGGGACCACGAGCCAGAACCTGAGACCCCCTCAGAGAGGCAAGGGGAGCAATGCCTTATAGAAACCACGGTGTGGTTGGAAGCATTCTATGTCTGCTATCAACCAGGTCAGGCACCCAGAAAGGTAAGCGTCCCAAAACAAACCCCTATTCTGATGAAAATTGCTATCAAAAGCCGAACAAGTGGATAGAACTCCCCAAAAAGAAACAAGAGGGAAAACTATCTTCTCTCCGTAGTCAGAGCATGGAGAGAAGATATAATGACAAAAGAACGAGACAGTACTGAAAAACAAGAGGCACGGAAAAGGACCAACGAGTCCAAAAAGGACCGGAGGTAAGCCTCACCGGAAGACAACAGATGTTCCAATAATGCGGGAAGAATCGAAGACCTTCCTGAACCCCTGAGATCTCACAGAAGCGAACAATATCACGAAGGCTCAGAAGGCACAGTCGCACCTGAGACCAAAAGTCATGCAGAAACCCTGATAATAGAGGAACATGACCCTTCCATGACGGAGAAATCCCGGCCCAGAGAAAAAGGGGGAGAAATGGAGAAAAGTACCCACCGAAAGGACAGAACCGAACGAACCCGAAGGGACAAGGATCCGAATCCGGGGAGGGGCCGACACCCAACAACTCGTATGCAGAGGGGGAAAGGAAAAACCCCACACCCCATAACTGCAAGTCCTGCACTGAGGGTAGAAAACCCCAGCAGGGTCCAATGGGGTCCAAGACCCCCCAAAGTCAGCCCCTCCCCAACCCCGGGAACCTCCATGGCAGACCCCGGGGCCGAGCCGTCCACCCAAAGCC